ATTCCCACTGTTTTACAGATGGTTGGGAAACTGAGGTAGCGAGAGCCTGAGTCACCAGCCCAGGGGCTCACAGCCAAGCAGTGTTGAGGTGGGGTTTGAACCCAAGAGGCCTGGCTCTCCCCGGGGTGTGGACTGTGGGGTCAGACAGGCTGAGTTCAGGGCCCTTACTCTGCCATTTCATTGCTGAGCGGCCTCAAGTAAATCTCTGTACCTCCCGGGTGGTGAGGGCTCCGGGAGCAGACCTGGCACTTTCCAGGAACCTGGCATTTGTGGGCTGGGGTCCAGGGGTCAAGGAAGACCACAGGCAAGGCGCAGTCCCCAAAACCCATGTTCCCGACCCCCTCCCCAGGACCTGTCTCTCCGCGTGACGGTGGCTGAGAGCAGCAGCGATGGCCGTGGGGACAACGTGGGTCACGTTATCATCGGGCCAGCGGCCAGTGGCATGGGCATCACACACTGGAACCAGATGCTGGCCACACTACGCAGGCCCGTGTCCATGTGGCACTCCGTCCGGCGAAACTAGTGGCCGGGATGGGCCCAGACAGGCACTGGAGCCACCCTAAGCCTGATGCCAAATCCTCTTCATCCTGCATCCTCCGTTGTCCAGCTGGAGCTCAAGCACCAGAGTGACTTGGCAGAGTCCCCGAGGGTCAGCAAGGTCCTTCTGCCCCGACTGCAGGGGACGCACTGCCCTGGCTACCTGTCCAGGGACCCAGTGTTCTCCCTCACAATGACCAGCTGTAGCTGGGCCAGGCCTGGAAAGGGTGACCAAGCAAAGAGGCCGACCCTTGTCAGTTTTACTACCACACTGAGGTCCCTAAAGGGTCTGTCCCTCTATCTAGGAGGTAGACCTGGCCTCTGCCCTCTCTCCACTCTGCCTGGGAACTAAGCCACCAACCAAGCTGGCTGTGCACAAGGAACTGGGCGAGCCTCGGGGACCATGTCTGTCCTGGGTACTGGCGGGATGATATGAACCCGAGAGCCCCTGCCACCGAGGGATGTCAGCAGGATCTGCTCCGTGCTGGATGGCAGCCCTGCCATGCAGACTCAGGGAGCTCTGAAGGCCAGCAGGCGGGCACAAGGATGCCCCCTGTGCTGTCAAGGAAAAGAGATAAGCGCATCGCAGGCAAGGGGCCTACCTGAACCAGGGCAGGAGCATGAACGTGGACAGAGCCCCTGCAGGGATAGCAGGATGGACTTCCCATCCCAGATGCAGCAGGCAGACCCCTTCTAGGGACACCAGCCTCTCCCTGGCCCCCCACTATCCCTGTTCCTGGTGGCTCAGCGTGGAGAGCAGCCTCAGAGGCACTCTCTCTGAGACCTGCTCTTCTGACCCCACTGAGGGGTCTTCAGAACAAATAGAGGGGTCCCAGCAGAACAAGCCTCCAGGGACCCCGTGACGGGAGAAGGCATCACTGGCAGCACACTTCTGGGAGACTTGGTGGAGCAGGGCCGTGAGGGCAGGGCTCAGCCTGAGTGGCAGCAATGAGGAGGGACTGCTGGGGCTCTCCCTTCTGCAGCATGATGGGAACCCAGGGCAGCTTGAGGGACAGCCCTGGAGGCATCACAGGCCAGACTGGGCAGGAGAGGCTCTGAGCCCCCTTGGTCAGGCTTCCAAACATTATCTAAGGTGTGGGTTCAGGCAAGTAATTGTGGGGGGCACCCTTGGGAGCAACCAGAGAGGAAAGGGAGGCAGGCAGGCGGGGACACGCATTGGGCAAACGTTGGTTTCAGGAGGGTCTGGCCCAGCCGCTCACTGGGGCTGTCCTGTCCAGAAGCCAAGGGGCTGGGCTGTGGCAGCAGGTGGGGACCTGGCCTCACTGGGCAGCACCCAGAGGTCAGCTGGCCCAGGCAGCATAGACTGGACAAGGGAAGCTGTGCTGGACAGCCTGGGGCTCCTCCCAGCCGGCTGCCCAGTGACGTATAGGCCTCTCACTGCATGCAGGCGCGCGCTGCACACCAGAAGGGCATGGCGGGGACCTGGTGGGCTTCCTGGAATTGCTTCTAGAACTCAAATAAAGTCGGAGCAGGAAGGAGGGGGCTGCCTTGGCCCAGATCGCCTGCATGTGTCTCTTCCTTGGTCGTCGGGGAGCCAGGCCTTTCCCAAGTCACTACATGTGTACCGTGTGTACTGCCGCCTTCCCATCATGCTGCCCTGTGTGGGGGACCCATTGTTGGGGAGGCCTTCACGGGGACCATGGCCAAGAGATTGCCTGGGAGGTGGGGTGAGTGGGGGTAGGGGCAGAGGGGACACCAAGAAAAGCTTCCTGCTGGTGACCCTGTGTCTTCAGAATGAGGCTGGTAAAGCACTTCTTGCCAAGAGAACCGCCGAGACTTAAAGAACCACAAGAAACTAAGCCCAGACCGCCAGCCGGCAAGCTGGTTTCCGAGAGCATAATTGTGTGCCGGAGCAGACAGCTTCGTCTTTCTCCCAAGGAGCAGCTGGTTCACAACCCGATGCTTAGCCCACCGTGCCATCAGGGGCCCTCTACAAACGGGCCAACCTCACCGCCATCTGTCAGTTCTGATGCCTGCTGACCTTATAGGACAGAGTAGAACTGCTTCCTGGGCTTCTCAAGACTAAAACGTTAAAAAAATTTTTAAAGACCAAATCATTAAGCAGAAAGCCTCCTCTTTCACCCTCGGAATGGCAGATGGGTCCGAACTGCTGACCTTGTGGTTTGCAGCCCATCAGGGATCCGTATACAAGAGGAGAGGCCCAGACCCTGCCCTGTTTACCCATTGGCTGGACTCCAGGATTGTTGTCCTTCCGTGCCTTCAGCTCCAACCCATAGCGACCCTGTGCACAACAGAACATAGCACTGCCCGGTCCCACGCCGGCCTCTCCATGGTTCCTGCGCTTGAGCCCATGACTGTAGCCACGGTGGCCATCTCCTGGAGGGCCTTCCTCTTTCCCTCCGCCCCTCCACTTTACCAAGCACGATGCCTGTCTCCAGGGACGGGTCTCCTGACAGGTCCAAAGTATGTAAGAAGAAGTCTGGCCATCCTTGCCTCTAAGGAGCACTCTGGCTGGGGAGAGCAGGAGTGAAGGAGAGATGGGCATGGGAGAAGCCTGGAGGAGAGAGGGCCTCAAAGGTTTGTGGAGTACTGGCACCCACGCGGTGGGCTGCGCACCAACCACAAGGTCTGCAGTTCGAAGCCACCAGCGGCTCCTTGGCAGAAAGATGAGGCATTCTACTTCTGTAAAGAGTCAACGTCTCTGAAGCTCACAGGGCACAGTTCTACCCTGCCCCATAGGGTCACTATGAGAATCCACTCGATGGCCCTGACTTTAGTTGGGGGAACATCTGGGATGCAGGAGGGGGTCGGATGAGGTGCCAAGGGCCTTGGAATTACACTTCAGGCCTCTGGGTCCCACCCGGGCACCCCAAGAAGTAGGGCCTGCCCTCTGAGATTCCACCCCACTGATACCTATTTTCCCCCACAAACACCACACCCTACATCCCAACTAGAAATCCCATGGAAAACCCACAAGCCCATTGGGAGGATGATGGGGCAGGAGGCTGGGTGGCCCTGTGGGGGCAGCAGAGAGCTGGCCTGGCGGGGCTGAGGGCTTCTCTTCAGGAGAGGGTGGGGCCAGAAGGTGGGAAAGAGGGCCTAAAGCCAGGGGCAGGTGGTGGCTGGGGTGTGGTCACTGTCCCCAGAAGCCGCACTCAGGTCCTGTGCTGGCCACCCCTCACTTTGCTTACTCTCTGGGCTGGCTCCTCCCTCCGCTTCCTGTTTGTCCACCCTGGCAGCCAGCTGGGAGTCATAGCATCCTGGCTCCTGCCGGGGTGAGTCTGGGCCAAGCACTCCTCTTGGGGACACAGACAGGTCAGTCCTGGTCCCTGCCCTGGGGGTGCTCAGGCTTGACTCGGGGCCACCTGCGTGTGCGCCTACAGAAGGGGCTTTTTCCGTGGGGCGAGGGGCTGTTCTTGGGTCTAGGGAGCAACGACCACTGGCAGGGGTCTAGGGGATGCAGAACTCAGCCTGCATGGGGTCTTTCAGGGGCGGAGTCACCAGAACCATTCTCACCAGGTGGCCCAGCTGTGACGTGGGCCACCTCCCCACCTGGAAAATAAATTGCAGGAAAACAGGGGCTGGTAGTGTCTGAGATTCCTGGACATTCCCGGTTACTCAGGCTGGTTTCGGGGAGAGGTGACAAGAGTCCCTTTTGCAGGGGCCTCCGCAGAGTGGAGAGCAGCTGTTCTCAACCTGTGGGTCACGACCCCCTTGGAGGTCGAATGACCCTTTCAGAGAGGTCGCCTGATAACAGTAGCAACATTACAGTTATGAAGCAGCAACAAAAATAATTTTATGGTTGGGGAGGTCACCACCTGAGGAACTGGATTAAAGGGTCATGGCATGAGGAAGGTTGAGAATCACTGGTGTAGAGGGTGAGGTTGCAACTCGGCGTCAGCAGGTCTGAGTTCAAATTCCGCTCCAGTCTGGCCCTCCGAGGCAAGTCGGTTCCCAATACTTTCTCACTGTTCCAGTTCCCAAATACGGAAGGTGAAGGAAGGTGTGGGGGCGGGCGGCAGGGGGGATCCTGCCACCTGCCTCGCTGGCTGGTCTCACAGCCTGAGATATGCAGGATCTCAGGGGTGGCGTTGGGCGAGAACCTGGTTTGGGATTCCAATTCCAGTTCTGCCTCTTGGACTCCGCCGCAGAGAGCTCCACTACTCTGTCTCGGCGTTCTCGTCTCTAAAATGGGACCAGTGATCGCTTGCTCGGCTAGCAGTCCTTGCTTGGAAGCTGCTATTGTTGGGACATGCTGATTGAAACTGAAACCGGAGAGGCACCCAGGGAGTCATTAAGCGTGATTGTCACTATAGCAACTGAAGCCAAACCCTCTGCTCCCGCCCCCAGTTTTGGCCCCACCTTCCTCCCACCTTGGCCATCCATGACAGCATCCCGGGGATGATGGGGGCCGGCCAGGCTGACAGTGGGTGCGGGGTGGCCTCCTCCCCACACCACGCCTTTGGGCAGGGAGCCCGACTCAGCGGCTACACACCCAGGCGGGTGCCAAGTCACTGCCCAGCCCCAGGGCAGTTTCGGGGAGGAAGGGGTACCTGAGGGGTGGAAACATTCTGGGGACTCTTCCGCCAACCAGGCGAGGCCCTGTTCGGCCCGCCCACCTTGGCTTTGCAGGGGAGCACTGGGATGGGAATCCAGGAATCTGGACGCCAGCTGTGTGGCCCAGTCACTCCACCTCTCTGTTCAATGGCTGTCCCGCCTCCTGCTTCCACAGCAATAGGGTTCCAAGAGGGCTGAGTGCGGCTTTGAACTCCAGGGAGGAGGTCAGCATGGGGATCCCTCAGCCCTTTCTAGTTCCTGTTCCTGAGAGTTTCAATGAATACTGGGAGCCCCTCCCACCCATTTTAAAAAGAGGTCACCCCTCAGGGCTGCCAGTGGGGAGGGAGAAGGTGGACTTCCAGTTCAATTCTCTGTGTATTGTGGTATTC